GAAAACATAGCAAATTTTTAAATAGTCATTGGAATCAGCCTACAGTATAGTCGTATTTGTTAAACTATACCACAATAATACCACAACGAACATAGTTTATTTAGGAAGGGTAGGAGAGAGTATGATTAGAGCATTCACATTGGTGGTAAATAATTATTAAATAACTATTTTATCATAGTATTATTTATCATTATGTTGAGTGTGATAATAGTATATGGTGTAAAAATTCTTATAATATGCTTTTTAGGGTTAAAATAGAATTGATGTAAATTTATGATAATACTAAAATTATTTCATTTTATTATACTATTACAATGTAAACCAATGTAGTGAAAAGTTGAATAAAAATATAATAATAAAAATTTATAATATTATATTCAAAATAGTGAAAACATTGTAGATCCTCTTAGTACGAATATGACTTGTTGACCCTCCGATTTCTGCAACCCAAGAAGTTTCCTTTTATATTCCGATGAGAAAGTCCCCAAGAGAAGGTGTGCTCCAATTATTAAACCATACTATACTACCAAAAAATGACCAACGACTTCATCAAATAATTAGATTAGAATAGAGAAACCAACCAACCATTCTTTGAATGCATAAATATTAAATAAGGTGGTCAGCAAGGCCTCGGTTTCATTAGTAACACTCAGTTAGCTGCGTCCTCTCAAAGAGAAAGGAATCTATTTATACCTATTGAAAACAGTTGTCATAAAAACCACGTGATACCTCTACACAAAAAAAAATTTTCCCGTCTAAACTCTATAAAACCACGTGACAGTTGCTTTCAAGAGTTGTAAAGGAATGCCATAATTTTAGGCATCTATTTAAAGTTTCAATAGTAGATTAATTTAATTTTATGGGTCAATAAATTTTAGGCATCTATTTTTGGAAGTAATTATCAAAATAAAATTGACAATCAGGCTGATTCCATAATTTATATGCATACATTTAAAATTACCATAGATTAATTTAATTTTATGTTCAGTTAATTTTTTTTATCATAGCAAAATATTTTTTCTTTCTATTCTACATATGTACTCTTTTTTAAGGCATGTTAAAACAGTGCCGGCAAACTAGTTGTACTTAATTTAGATATAATTGGTCAATTGCCGTTATTAAGGGGCATACATTATGTAGATGCCATTTGCGTAGTAGTTCAACAATGAAGGTTTATATTTTCTTGGAGTAGACTCTAATTTTTTTTTTAATTTTTTTTTAACTGCCTTCTTCTATCACTTTTTTTTTAATTAAACCAAGCGAGTACCTAAGAAATCTATAGATAACTAGAAATATTTTTCAGGGTAGTGATTAAAACTTACCCTGTACAAGAAATCGTAAAAAAGACGGAGATTTAAATATATTGATACTTTCAAGAGAGACCTAATTGGATCTATACAAAATTATGTCTAATGCCTCGTATTTATCGGACTTTTCAGAACTAGTTTACTAGTAACTCAATAAAGAAAAACAACAGGCTAAATTTCCTATCATCGTAATTCGCTTCTTTCGGATCACAGATCTAAACTGTCGTGTTTAGTGGGCATATGGAGAATCCAAATTTGTGAGTGATATACAGGAAAATTAAACACTGTTAATTCCAAAAAGAGTCACTAAAATATAATTAATCCAAATCCGAACCTGAACCAAACACATGAAATAACCGTATAAAACAATTTGTTGTTTGTAACCAAGACCGGTGAACCGATATGTATCGGCTCACTGGGTATTGAGGGCCGGCAGATCGGTTTCTGAGAGTTGGTCGACGAAGCTGCTGTGTAACATGGAGCCGGAGGTCCAGCTTTGGGAATGGCCAGCAAAGCTGGTTTGATGGTGGTGACGGCTGTGACGACTGCCGACTTGCAGCAGCGCACAGTGGACCTCCGTAGCATCGGGCTTCTCGCTGGCACTCAGATCTGAGGCACCAAGGTCTCGATCTGAATATATCAAGACAGATGACGAGTCCAAAATAAACCCTAGGCCTATTGGCCCTAGGATTAGGTTACTTGGAAATTAAGCCACCCTCTAAATCTATTCCGCTAGGGTTTCAGGAAACAGGTAACACCACCTATATGTAAAGAGGTGGTGCCTCTCCCATAATACATATCTTCTACCTATCTTCTATACCTTCTACAAATGATACACATCCCTCTCTCTATTCTCTTTATTCTTTTATTGACTTAATCATCAGAGAGTCTATCCTCGGGAGACACCCGAGGCTCTGTCTTGCAGGTTTTAGGCCGTCCACCGCCGCCTAGATCATCATCGCCATTCATCCTAAGGCACCGTGCAGATCCATGCTTCGTCAAGTGGCACGCCCAGTGGGACCAATTTGTTTGGTCTTCACAACCAAATAAATTTCTTAGCAAAGCACGGAATCTTTTGTATCTTTCGCAGCCACGGTGTTAAGTCGTTGCTCCGAGTTTGCAACAAGAAGATCACGTAAAAAAATTATCTTGTTTGGCCAAGAAGACGTCAGTCGACAAGTAGCACAAAGAAACTTTCGATTGCACAAATAATCGAGGAGCTGCACTAGCTCCACAACTGATCGAGAAGAACAATTAGTAAGGGGCAATCTCGAAGATTGGAGTTTCGAGAGATACATCTCCTCGAAGGGGCAACAATCCCTTAAGCACCATATTACTACACGAAGTGTTCAGGCAGATACATCTCCTCGAAAGGGCAAGCATCCCTCGAGCACCTTACTACTACTCGAAGTGTTCGAGAAGACGTATCTCGACTTTCATCTACCCAAATAATACCTTCTCGGAATCGAAGTAACACCTTCTCGAGCAATCAATTTAACTGGAAACCGAGGTACTTCTCAAATATTTTCTAACTATGCTTCTCAAATCTAAGTTTATAAACTGCTATTCTTGTTATAAGCATATTATTTATATCAAATGACAATATCTTTTTGATACATACATCATACTATTGCATATCGAGCATCCAAACATATAGGGGCCACCCTTCAAATCAGGCATTGGGGACCACCTCACATCAGAAAGGAACCGAAAGACCTACTAGTCGGGCACTGGGTTTAAATAAGACCTGCTAGTCAGGCACGACCCACAAAGACCTGCTAGTCGGGCAATGGCCAAATAAGACCTACTAGATGGGCACAGCCACAAGACCTGCACGACGGACAACTACAGGCTTCTCACCTTCAAATAAGAGAATCTAGGCGCCATCATCCTAATTCGGCATACACAGGCTTCCCCCTGCCAATCAGGAACTAACTAACACGAAGACCTCCTCGGGGTATTTTATTCTCATTATCTTTCTATAGGTAACACCCGAGAACTGGGGCAACACCACGAGAAGACATCAACACTCGTAGCAACCCATATCCTTCTCATCAAGTCTCGAGAATATGGCTTGCTAGGGGCACTTGACGAGTCCAAAATAAACCCTAGGCCTATTGGGCCTAGGATTAGGTTACTTGGAGATTAAGCCACCGCCTAAACCTATTCTGCTAGGATTTCAGGAAACAGGTAACACCACCTCTATATAAAGAGGTGGTGCCTCTCCCATAATGTATATCTTCTACCTATCTTCTATACCTTCTACACACGATACACATCCCTCTCTCTATTCTCTTTATTCCTTTACTGACTTAAGAATCGAAGAGTCTACTCTCGGGAGACACCCGAGGCTCTGTCTTACAGGTTTTAGGCCGTCCACCGCTGCCTAGATTATCATCGCCACCCGTCCTAAGGCACCGTGCATATCCATACTTCGTCAACAGAATGGGAGCGGCCGGATGCGTTAAGCCAAGGTGCGGCAGCTGCTTCTGCGGGAGATCAAGGCGGCGGGGAGAGGAGCGTTCTGACATCAGCAGCGGTTGTTCTTCGACGGTTCGTCTGAAGCCGATCGCCGGATCAATTGGTGGCCGCTACTTTGATTTTATTTGAGCAAAAGAGAAAAAACATAAAATAAAAGGGAAATTTGACTCTTCCAACCACCGTTAATGATGGTTGGGGGAGGAGGAAGGTGTTGTTATGAAGTGGTGATTGGGAGAGAGGGAGAAAAGAAAGAGAGGAGTTTTCGAGAGTAAGTTTATTGCTTTTTAAAAGTTTCGCCTTCTTCTATCACTTTTCTTTTTTAACAGCGAAGTCATTTGAGTTTTAATTTAAGAAATAGAATTTGAAATGTAATTAGAAAAAAAATGAGTAGGAAAATCATGGGCTGACAAAACTTTCATTTTGAAGATATATTGTGTTTGGTTTAAGTGGGAAAACAAAAGGGTGAGAGGATGACCATACAATCTCCCCAGTGAGTTATCAAATTTTTTATGATTCAAAAATTAAGGCTTTGCATCCTCTGAGTGCTTTAGTCTCTTGGAATAAAGGGCTCTGCAGACTGCAGTGGAGAGATTTTGCTCAACAGCCACGAGACTTCTCTTTTCTACTTTGATTTCGTAATAATTAATGAACATAATAGAGTTCTAGTTCTAGCTTTTGCTTTCTCAGGTACGTATAAATGACTAGATTCTCATTTTTAGGTTAAATTGTACAAAAAGTAAATATTCAAACTAGATAATAATTTTAAAATAGAGAGAATACTAATTAATTAAATGATGCTGACCGCAAGAGAAAATTTCGATTCAATATCTCATGCTCCTAGATCGGGTCTTAATGGTAGGGTTTAGGATCACTTTGCGGAGCCACTAGGCAGTACACAAATATTTCATTCATTCAAGATATAATGCAAATGAATAGTAGAGAACAAAACTAAAATGTAACTTTATAACAAATTGCTCTTCGATCAGATGGAATCTTGTACACTTTATATAAAACAATTTCAAAAGAGATTTATAGAAAAAAAAAATTACTTTTGTGGACAGATATGGAGCATCGTATACAACATGCAAACCACTATACTATAAAAGACCCCTTAATCAATCTTTTCTCCCAAATCTCTCACACTCTTAGAACTAATTTTTTTCCTTTGTTTTCTTGATTAGAAACAAGACATCAGGCAAGATGGCACAAAAAATGGTGCGCTCCATCGAGATCAAATCAGATGGAGACGTGTTTCATGAAATCTTCAGAGACAGACCACATCACATTTCTACAATGAGCCCAACTTATATCCAGGGAGTTGATTTGCATGATGGCGACTGGGGAAAAGTTGGATCTGTTATCTTCTGGAACTACACTCATGGTAAACTGAATTCCGCAATCATCTTCGTAGTAAATATTACTTACTCCGTCTCAGAAATATAATTCTCATTGAATTTAGACGGAAAAATAATCCTTATTAAATTTTCTTAAAATTTATATTAAAAACAATATAAATCTCGAAATTGAATGTGAAATATAATTTGGAAACAGAGGGAATAATTCTTTTCTCCAATCAAAAACAATGATTTGCTAGTATCCTTTAGAATAATAAATTTACCACTTTATCTCTTTTCCCACATGTAAATTAGGCTTTTCAATTCATCCTTTCAACTCAACTACAGTTAAGGGATGCAATATTATTACAGCTTGTGAAACTGGAACTCCGGAACGTTATAGGAAAAAAAACTTAGTTGTTCTCTCATCCCAAAATTATTGTCTAGTTTGAATTTTCCTTCTTAGTTCAATTTGTACTAAAAATAAAAATTTAAATTGGACATTTGTTGTACATGTAATATTGATCTTATCGTGAATTAATTTTTTATTTTTTATTTTTTTTTTGGTTGAACTTTGATAGATGGAAAGGAGAAGGTGGCTAAAGAGATAATTGAGGCAATTGACGAGGAAAAGAATCAGTGAGATTTAAGGTGATTGAAGGAGATCTTATGGAGCTGTACAAGAGCTTCGTCTTAACTGTCCATGTTGACACAGTTGAGAAAAACAACTTAGTCACTTGGACACTTGAATATGAGAAGAAAAATGAGAGCGTTCCAGATCCGGAGTCACTCATGGAATTCTGCCTTCAAGTCACTAAGGATATCGAGACTCATCACCTCAACTAAATTGGTCAATAATAAACGATCGGTGGCATAATAAACGATCTTTCATCAAAGACATAATTTCTCTTTTGCGTGTGTGTGTACGTTGGTCGTGAATTCAGGCTATCAAGCTACAACATTAGTTTTGGCTGTCTGAATGAAATATGTTTGCTTATGATATTATATTTTACAGCTATAATTTTCTAAAATCAACCTAGTATGTACCGACCTTGGATTTTTTTTTCCGACAATAAACCCTACTATATAAACTTACCCTGATTGTCTCTCACTACCTTAATTTTGTTTAAGTTTTGTTGAATCAAATTGTTCGTAAACTTGTCGTTATTGTTTTTCGTAAATTTATTTTTACACTCAGTGATAATGAGAAGAAAGTCATAAATGTTAAAATCCATTATTAATAGTATCATTTTTAAAGTAATAATAATAATTCACAAAAATTGTTAATTTTAAAATCCAAACAGTGTGAAAATTGTCTTTATAATCTCGATGCATGCGATCTTTTGAAGGGGAATTTCAACTATTGGTTTATTCACGAAACATAACACTTTTCTAATATTTGCAGTTAAAAATGGAGAAGAACTAAAGCATAATAATTTAATGGAAAGAAGTTAATTTCCTACCATCAAGAAATCAATTGTTTGGTTGAACCTAAAATCCTATATGAAAAACCAAAAGTTATAAAACATTGACTACTAAGTTGTGAAATCATAGTATGTTTATGCGCGAGAGCGAGAGAGATTGATTATTTAGTATATATATACAGGGGTGGCTCTCTCACTAAGTAAAACAGGCCATCGCCTAGGGTTCCGAAATCGGGGGGCCATATATATATATTAACTAAATTTAGTGTGGATAATTATTGGTAAAAACGTAAAATTCATAGAAATAAGTGATTTATTGAAAATGTGAAGAATTAATGAAACTCTTACACCCCTCGAGTTCTTAAAACTGATTATTTTCTTTACGTAGTTAATAGAGCTATATATCTCATCACTATAAAGTAGATTTAAAAATTTTAAATAGATGTTAGTATTTTTAGTTTTCTATTGATTTTGGAAAAATTATAAGTACTTGATGACAAAAAATTAGAAAACAAATTGTCTTAATCTTCAAAACTCCTTAAAATACAATGATATTTTAGATATTGACGGTTTAGATATAATTATGAACTAAAAATTTTAACGGATAATGTATATATTGAGAATAATAATCCAACTGATATACTTAATTATATTAAAAGACTTAATTCTTTCATAATTGATTATAGGATAATGTTAACTATTGTTTGTGTAACGGTTGGTTCAATAAAAAGAAATTTTTCAAAACTTAAATTAAAAAAATATTACTTAAAATCGATAATGTCACGAGACAAATTAAGCTAGATTTGCTATTATATTAATAAAAATAGGCTTAGTGGAAGAGATAGATCATAAAAATTTCATAAAAGAATTCGCAACCAAAAAATATAGAAAAATAACTTGATATAAACAATATTTTCAAAAAAATGCTAGAAAGATAAATTTAATATAAATAATATTTGAGAAAAAAAAAATTTTGACTCTGCTTGCTATGGACTCATAGGTTTATAGTTATCACCGAAAAATGAAGAGGTTTACACTTTTTTCCTTTTTTTTAAAAAAAATTTTTATTATCAAAAGGTATCGAATTCATAACTCGCCTTAGGCCGCAAAAAACGTTGAGCCGCCCCTGTATATATATATATATATATATATATATATATATATATATATATATATATATATATAATAAGGCCCCCTTGTCTTGGAAACTAATTTCTTTTTGTGCTCTGTAAGCCTCGGAAAAGCGAATAATTGCTTACTATTCTTAATAGTGCCATGGTTAAAATCGGCAAAGTGGGTTACCTGAAGCAAAAATCGGCAAAAGCGTAAGCTTGTTGATTTAATTCCTGTTTCTCACGCGTTGAAGCAAACTAGCTTCTTGGAGTCAGCTTAATGAGACTCATCACTATTTTACACTGTTCAGTGTTCATTAAAAGACAGGATTAAGCAACAACTAAGCAAAATTAGAACAAAACGTAAAGGAAACTAGTTACAACAACGAAAATGAATTAAGTCAGATTTCTATGAAAACAGTATTCCCCGATCTCAAATTACAGTTCAGTTTGTATTTTCATTCTTAATATAAATTAGTGGGATTTTGTCTTTCTTTTTTTTTTTTTTTTGGTTTACTAGTTTTTTAATGCGGATGAATTTTTCTTTCTTTTTGTTTTGGTTTAATGTTTTTTTTAATTGTGATATTGTGCATTTATTTAGATATAATAACCTCTATTTTGATTTTTTTAACAATGAAAAATTTCATGTATTTTCTTTTTCCAATTTATTTGTTTTTACTGTAGTTTCAATTGTTTACTTAATATAATTTTAAATTATACAATAAGACCATATAAAATATACTACACGACCTTTAAAATTATATAACAAGACCATGAAATGATTTACAGTACATGAATTTTAAAATTATATATATTAACTCAATAAAACAAATTACTATTGCATAACCTCTGAAATTATATAATAAAACCATAAAACAAATTATATAGAGGAACTAAGACCATTAGTATCAAGAAGTAATACAAGATTGTCTTTCTGGAAAACAAATACAACTACAGTAAAACTTCTCTACAGGAATAAACTTGGGCCTCCCAATTTTTTTTTAATTTATAGATTTTTCATTTATTAGTAAATTAATAATTATTAATTTATCGGTAAATTAATATTTTATTAATTTAAAGAGGATTTTCAATCCTATTAGTATGAAAATACAAAAATCTATGTTTTTATATCAACAAAAGTTCGTTACGGCTCTAACCATAAATTTATAATTTTTTAATGTAACAAAAATATGATAATTGCGAATATAAATAAAAATACTTAAGTTAAAATCTAAGTGTAATTTCAAATCTAATTTATTATTTTAGGTATTTATTAATTTATGAAATCATGGGGAGTGGACCTATATATACATAGAAGATTGTTGAAAAATTATTATCTTATAAACTAATCAATTTTTTTTATTTTTTGTACTGGTCCTGAGTTGGGGCCGAAGAAAAATATGATTTAATAGACGTTATTAATTTGTAAATGATTAATTTAGGAAGATTTTACTGTACTTACAATTCTACACACATGCTCGCTCTAATATATCCCCCGAAAAAACAATTCTAATATACAAATGGAGTGTCGCGCAAGCGACCGAAACACAGTAGCCGCCGTGAGCATCTCCCGCTCTACACACACGCTCGCTCCTCACAAACGCCCGCTTTTCACACACGACCGCTTCGATATCTCCCCCGAAAAAGGTTTACAATTTATATCCGAAAGGCCGCGCAGGAGGCCAAAAAGCACGCTTGTCGAAAGCTACATGACCATCTGCCGCGGAGTATCCGCCGCTCCTCACACACGCCCGCTCCACACACACGCTCACTCCTCACACAAACCCACTCCAATATCTCCCCCGAAAAAAGGTTTCTAATTTATATTTGAAGGGCCGCGCAGGCGGCCGAAAAGCACGCTAGCCGAAGGCTACGTGAGCATCCGCTGTGACTCACACACGCCTGCTCCTCACACACACCCGCTCTTCACACACACCCACTTCGATATCTCCCCCGAAAAAAAATTTCTAATTTATATTCGAATGGCCGCGCAGGCAGCCGAAAAGCACGCTAGCCGAAGGCTACGTGAGCATCCGCCGCGAAGTATCCGCCGCGACTCCACATGCCCGCTCCTCACACACGCCCGCTTCTCACACACATCCACTCCGATATCTCTCCCGAAATAAGGTTTCCAATTTATATTTGAAGGGCCCCGCAAGTGGCCAAAAAGCACGCTAGCCGAAGGCTACGTGAGCATTCGCGGCGATGTATCTGCCGCGACTCACACACCCCCACTCCTCATACACACCCACTCCGATATCTCCTCTGAAAAAAGGTTTTCAATTTATATTTAAAGGGCCCCACAGGCGGTTGAAAAGCACGTTAGTCGAAGGCTACGTGAGCATCCGCCGCGACTCACACACGCCTGCTCCTCACACACTCCCGTTCTTCACACACACCCACTCCGATATCTTCCCTGACAAAAGGTTTGCAATTTATATTCGAAGGGCCGTGCAGGTGGCCGAAAAGCACGCTAGCCGAAGGCTATGTGAGCATCCGTCGCAACTCGCACACACTTGCTCCTCACACACGCCCGCTCCTCACACACACCCACTCCGATATCTCCCCGAAGAAAGGTTTCTAATTTATATTCAAAGGGCCGCAGGCGGCCGAAAAGCACGCTAGCCGAAGGCTACGTGAGCATCCGGCGCGAAGTATCTGCCGCTCTTCACACACGCCCGCTCCTCACATACACCCTCTCTGAATTCTCCTCTGAAAAAAGGTTTCCAATTTATATTTAAAAGGTCGTGCAGGCGGCCGAAAAGCGCGCTAGCCGAAGGCTACGTGAGTATCCGCCGCGAAGTATCCGCTGCTCCTCACACACGCCCGCTCCAATATCTCGTTCGTAAAAAGGTTTCCAATTTATATTTGAATGCGCGACCGGAAAGCTCGCTAGCCGTAGGCTACGTGCCGCTCCTCATACATGCTCGCTCCTCACACACGCTTTCTACTCACACACGCCCGCCCTAATATCTCCCCCGTAAAAAGATTTCCAATTTGGATTCGAAAGGCCATGCAGGCAGCTGAAAAGCACGCTAGCCGCAGGCCACGTGAGCATTTGTCGCTCCTCAAACACGCTCGCTCCTCACACACGTCCGTTCTGATATCTCAACCGTAAAAAGGTTTACAATTTATATTTGAATGCGCGACTGAAAAACTCGATAGTCGCAGGTTACGTGAGTATCTCCTGCTCCTCACAAATGGTCACTCCAATATTTTTTTGAAAAATGATTCCAATTTATATGGTGAGTGATTTTTAATATGTGGAAAAGACCAAGATCTAGAGGAAAGGTAGGAAGACCAAAGGCCAAAGATTAAGAAAAAAAATTAAAAATTAAAGACCGAAGACCGAAGACCAAACACCAGATTGAAAACCGAGTGTGTGTGAGGAGCAAATAGCAAAGACCAAAAAATTAAAGACCAAAGAGCGAAGACTAGAGTGAAGTTCAAACGTGTGTGTGGAGCAAAGACCAAGGACCAAAGGCCAAAGGCTAAAGACACAAAATTGAATACGAAAGACCAAAGTCCAAATATCAAAGTCCAGAGACTAGGAAAAAGAGCGACAGTGTATTGAGGAACAATAAACAAAGACCAAAGACCAATGACTAGAGAGCAAAGACCAAAGATTGAAGACCAAAGGCCAAAGACAAAAAATCGAAGACAAAAATCAAAGACCAAAGACCAAGGCCCAAGACTAAGAAACAAAGACCAAAGAGCGAAGACCAGAGTGAAGTGCGAACGTGTGTGAGAAACAAAGACTAAGGACCAAAGGCCAAAGGCCAAAGACACAAAATCGAAGACCAAAGTCCAAATATCAAAGTCCAGAAACTAGAAAAAAGAGCGACAGTGTGTGAGAAACAAAGACCAAAGCCCAAAGACAAAAATCGAAGACCAAAAATCAAAGACCAAAGGCCCAAGACCAAGAATCGAAGACCAAAGATCAAAGATCAAAGATAAAACAAAATTTAAAAAAAAAAAACAAAGACCAAAGACCGAAGAATAAAGACCAGAGTGAAAATCAAGCGTGTGTGAGGAGCAAATACCAAAGACCAAAGACTAGAGATCAAAGACCAGAGTGAGGAGCGAACGTATGTGAAGTGCAAAGACCAAAGACTAAAGACTAAAGACCAAAGACCATAGTGAAGAGTGACAATGTGTGAGGAGCAAAGACTGAAGACAAAAGGCCAATAACTAGAGTGAAAAGACCAAACACCAAAGACTAGATATCAAAGACCAGAGTGAGGAGCGAGCGTGTGTGAAGTGTAAAGACCAAAGATCAAAGACCAAAATCTATAGTTAAGAGCGACAACGTGTGAGGAGCAAAGACTGAAGACAAAAGGACAATGACTAGAGTGAAAAGACCAAAGACCAAAAACACTTAGGAGCAACAAGTAAGACCAAAGTGTCTTTTAAGAAGATCAAGGTCATTTAATAATTTTTTAAAGTTTCAAAAAACATATTCATAAGGATCTTGTTGGATAGATCTCATCGAGTACTATCAAAATGATATAAGACACTTGGTCTAATTCTTTATGGATTATGAAATAAAATCATTTGAAAATTAAAAAAAATTTTAAAACTCAATTCCTAAAATTAAGGAATGCTTGTTTGAGGTACGTGTACTACACGCTAAAAAAATCGGATGTGGGGGGACATGGAATAAAATATGCACGTGTCTTCACATTAAGTGCATATAACATAAGCCCTTATGTCTGCATCCTAAGCAGATTAGAGAGGTATATATGCATCTTAATCATTGTGTTTGGGAGCAATTTTTCTCTTAACCCTAGGATTTTTCTTTCTTTGCCTTAGGGTTTTTCTTTTTTTCTATGATGACTCTTTCTTCCTTTTTTATTTCATATTCAATTTGTCCAATATTAGGTACCAAACTTTGCGAGCACAACAACTAAGCAACATGTAGTACATGATGAAGAAGATATATCGGATAAGTCAACTTCCAGATGAGAAGCTTTGTTGTATCTTATCGTTTTTAATGCTCAATGAAGCTGGAAGAACAAGTGTTCTGTCGAAAAGATGGAAGAACGTGTGGACTTATACGGATGATCTTGAGTTTGATGCATTCATTAGTACATCTTTCGAGATGTTAACTGATGATGAGTACGTGAATGAAATAATAAGGGGAAGGCCCAAGTTTGTTAACTTGGTAAATAAGGTGCTACAATCCCATCGGACCTCGATTTTGAACAAGTTCACAATTCATTGTGCTTTGGATCATTCCTTTCAGGCAGAACTGAATAAGTGGCTTCAGTATGCCTTTGATAAGAGAGTCCAAAAGTTGGAAGTGAATGTGTCAGAAACTGACCAATTCGTCCCTGGCAACTATAATTTTTCTTGTGCACTTTTGGAACAAAGAGGTTGGAACTCTCTTAAAGGATTGATGTTGGCAAATGTCTCGGTCTCTGGTGCCACTCTTGAATCCCTTATGCGCGACTGCAAATATCTTGAAAGTTTGGTTGTGCATCACTCTAACGTTTTAACAACTTTGCAAGTTTGTGGTCTGTCTCTTGCATTACAAAACTTGGAAATTCACTTTTGTCCGTCGTTGAAATCCCTCACTATAAGCAATGTTAATCTTATCTCTCTTAAGATTGGGAGGCCAAGAGTAGCAGTGATTAAGAATAATGTCCCCAAGCTTGCTCATACTGAGATCCTCTCTACATCTTACACTGTTGAAGATGTTGTTGTCACTTCCTTTCAAACAGCTTCTCAAAGCTGGAGGTTCTGTCCTTAATCCTGGATCCTTGACAGGCTAGAGAGGTATGTTCAATGCATTATATACTGGACTACTTTTCTTTGCCTGGTTTAACTCTATGATTACTACTTAGTTCTATTTAGTTATTTTGGCTTCATCTTATCATGAGTTGTTTTGTCGTCCCAGTATGATAGGAAACTACCTCAGCTTCTTGCTCTGAAGCAGCTATCTCTAAGGTTGTTTTTTATATGAAGAAGGCTGGAGGATGTCTGGGCTTAGTTCGTTCTTTAGGGCATCACCAAACCTGGAGAAGTGTTCAATAGAGGTTAGTCTCTGAGACTAGTTGTTACTTTATTGTTTGATGTTTTTGCTCGTCCTTTCACCCTTCTCACATCTTGATCTTCTAGCTTTTCTGGCAGAAGGTGTGCAGAGCAGCAACTCTTGGGAATAATATTGCCTTCAAATGTTACATTGCAGATACTTTAGAGTTTAGATCTTCACATGTGTGGTCTCTCAATTAGAAGTTAGCTTAATTATCATTATAAGGTGTGATTTTTATCAAGAGTATTATATCTGTATTATAATAATTTTTACTCCTTCCGTCTCATCTTAGTAATCTACTTTAGCATACTATTTTAATTCAAATGAAACGGACGCGTATCTTTCTTCTTCCGCCCTTTGTTCTTAACCGCCAAGGCCCCTAATCAGGTTGACAACCATAGATCATGCATAATCTTGTCAGCTGACTTAATTTTGTGTTACTACATCAAATAAAAATATTATTTTTTATCCAACTTTGTTCCTGAAGGCCAAAAAGGAGAAGGGAAATAGTACTCAAAAAACTGTCTTCCAATATTTGTGGAGGAAAACATTTTCATGCCCTTTGCCTGCTTCCATCATTCCTGAACTCAGCATCTCTAAGAATAACCCTTGGGATTTGCCAAGTAATTCGAGTACTAGCTAATTAACCCGTGTCCCAGAAAAGTAGTCCTCTTTGTTAAAAGATAGCTTCATCGCATATTACATATTGCATGTGTGTGTTGGTGATCAAGAGCAGTCAAGATATTTCTTCAGCTACTTGGAAGCGAAATACCCGGCCAGTAATCTGAGTATAAATAGGGCAACCGAAGCTAAGTTACTGGAAGGCGACTGGTGCAGAGAAGCAAATTGTGTTGCACCATGACTAAAACAAGACGTTTTTATTTATATATATGTTACTCACACGTTGTTTTAATTCTAATTTAGCAGTAACAAGACACTGCCCCTACTAGTAAATAGAACTTGGGCTTAATAGCCCATTGTGGCATCACAAAAGGAAAAAAAACATAAATACCTCACGCGCGTATAGCGAACACACGCGGCCCTCCAATTTTTCTCTCTCTCCATCTCTCTCTTCTCGCCCCACTTTTCTTTTTCTTTTTTCTTTTTCAAATTTCTTCTATTTTTCAATTGATCATATCTTTCAGTATATAAATAATTAGAAAACATACTATATATCAAATTAATCTATGCGACAAGATCTTTCTATTAAAATCCATTGTTAATATTTTTGAAGTCAAAATTTTTATTTAAATTCATGTATAAAAACAATGTATATAGTGTTTAACTGTTATGTATATGAAAAAGTAAATTGTCATTTCTTCTCTTTTTATTTTATCCTTCACAATTTACATTTTTTATTTTTATTTTTTTTCCTTTTAACTTTCTTTTTAATATATTAATATTATAGCTAGAAAAATATTTTTCTCAGATTACGTTATATTTACGTTTATAAGATTTTAGTTTACCTTTTTGTGCAAATTATGTTTATTTGAAAAATGCTTTCATAATATTATCATTTGAAAACCAATCACATTTCTTTTCTTTTATACTATTTAAAAATTTAGCATTCAAATTTAAATTTGTAATTTTTATTTTAATTTATGTCAAATTTTAAATAATTTGATTAAGTTAACGACTCATAAATTAAATAAATTGATAAATCATTTTAACAAATTTAAATTTATCATTACAATCAAAACTAAAATCATATGTATCTCTACACATTAACGTATTCACATTCCTTCATATACATAGTATTATACCTTCATAAACCTATTTGTTGTCTTCATATGCCTTATGGTGTGTTTTCATATACATTTTAGTATACCTTCACGTATATTCTTGTATTTTATATATATTCAGATATATTCATATACATTTTCACGTGCCTTTATATACATATCTACATATCTTTATATGCATTATCGTATGTCTTCATACACATTTCCGTATGCCTTTATATACATTTTTGCGTCCCTCCATATATAAAGTAATATGACTTCATCAAGATATATGTTTTCATTAAAATATTTTAAACCATAAACACTAACCACTAGACCCTAAACCTAAATAAAATTGTTAAATCCTAAACCCTAACCTAATTGAAATACTTAAATCCTATACCTTCTTAAACCTCTTTGTATGTCTTCATATGCGTTATCGTATGTTTTCATATGCATTTTCATAGACCTTCATATACATTCTTGCACATGCTTTTATATATTCGGATATCTCCATATACATTTAAATTTGCCTATATATACATATTTAAATATCTTTATATGCATTATCGTATGTTTTCATATTCATTCCCATATGCCTTCATATACAGTTATGCATGCCTCTAATTGAAATGCTTAAAACCCTAAACCCTGAACACTATACCTTACTCTAATTAAAATGCTTAAACTGTAAATCCTAAACCCTAGAATCTAACCTAATTGAAATTCTTACACCCTAAACCCTGACCCCCAAAACACTAGACTTTAACATATATAATTGAAATGTTAAAACCCTAAACCCTAAACACTAGACCCTAAACCTAATTAAAATGCTTAAACCTTGAACCCTAAACACATTATGGTTACAATTACTTTATAAATTTTTGTAACTCAAATAGGCTAGGGTCTTGTTTATCGTTTTACGTCACACACTAAATCCTTAACCTGATTGAAATGTTTAAACCCTAAACCCTAAACACTAGACCTTAACCTAATTGAAATGTGTAAACCCTAAATCCTAAACCCTAAACCCTAAACACTAGACCCTAACCTAATTGAAATGCTTAAACCCTAAACCCTAGACCCTATGCTAATTGAAATGATTAAACCCTAAACCTAATCGAAACCCTACCCTAAACCTAATCGAAACCCTAAACCCTAAATACTATACCCTAACCTAATTAAAATGCTTAAACCCTAAACTCCAATCTAATTAAAATGCTTAAACCCTAAATGCTAAACCTTAAACACTAGAACCTAACCTAATTGAAATGCTTAAACCCTAACGTATGCTCAATGAAGACACATATCTTAATGTAGGCAAATTACGGCATGCAAAAATGTATACGAAAGGTATACGTGAATATATATGAAGACATACGATAATGCATATAAAGATATGTAGATATGTATATAACGGCACATGAAAATGTATTCGAAGATAACCAAATATATAAAAGCAGCAAAGAATGTATATGCATGTATACGAAAATGTATATGAAAATATTCGACATCGTATGTTTTCATATACATTTTCGTATACCTTCGTATACATAGGATATAAAGACATAAGAAATGTATACAAAGGCGTACCAGATGTATATAAAGGCCTACGAAAATGTATATGAAGACATACATGTATATAAAAGCATGCGACAATGTATATGAAGGCATACGAAAATGTATATGGAGACATACATGTATATAAAAGCATGTGACGATCTATAGGAAGGCCTACTAGATGTATATGAAGACATATACATGTATACGAAGGCATACTAATATGGATATTGAGAAATGTAAAGATGTTTATATATTGAGAGATATACGATTATGTATAGAGTGTAATAATAAATTTATAACAAAAAATTTTTTTGACATAAATAAAAATTTCAATTACAAATTTAAATTTGAATGAGGAAATTCAAATAGTTAAAAAGGAAAGAAATGTGATATAAAAGTATTATTTTACTAAAAAAACGTAAAGTAATACAATCAAATATAAATAATTTGTGGAAAAAATTAAAATACATTAAAAAGAAACAAACAATAAAAAATTACAAAAAAAAACAAAAATATAATTAGTGAAGAATAAATAAAAAAGAAAAGAAACAATAATTTACCTTTTCATATACATAATAGTTAAACAACATATAACACAATTGTTAAAGTGTATTTACATTGTTTTTAATATATAAATTTGAATAAAATGTTTAACTCTAAAAATATTAATTATGGATCTTGTAGAAAGAACTCGTCACATAGATTAATTTGATATATAATATATTTTCTAATTATTTATATATAAATAGACATGATTGTTTGAAAAAAAAAAGTCAAAAGTCAAAAAAAAAATCAGAATTTTAATTGGGAAGCTCCGCGCCAGCTGGGATCCAATCTGCACTCGCCCGACTATGGGTAGCTTCCTTTACCCATAGTGGGGGCAGGGCCGTTTTTGCCCTAATCTAGGCAATTCGACTCCTTTATTATGGTATCCAAAAATAAAAAAATAAAAAAAGGAGCAAAATCAAAAGATGGGAAAAAAAAAAAGAAGAAGAAAATATCAGTGAATATTTCCCAAGTTTAAATAACATGCATGATTATTCCTTAACTAATAACGCGGTACCATACACTAGGTAAACTATAATCATCATTTACACTTGGAAGAAAGAGGTTCAGAAATGGTTCAATTTCAACAAACGAGATGGAGGAAGAACTCCATACGATCCACACCCCTGTTTTTCCATTTCAGTATTTCTTCCAAAACGCCTATCTGGTTATTAAAGGGACTGCAAGAACCACATTCATAAAGATGATCATCTTTATTCGTAGAATCAATCTCAGCCGGAATCTTGCAGAAAAGATCAACTTCACAAGGGATTAAGATTGGGGAATCGCTGTTGTACCCATATTCCAATTCAGCATCTGAAACAGGGGATGATTTGCACACTATTTTTATCACAAATTTCTGCTTTTCTTCCCCAACATATACATAGA